CGCTTATGCACAATCATCTAAAGGATAATAAGTTCATCTCTTCTCTCCTATGAAATGTAAGTTCTCTCCATGAACATAAGAAAGTTGTTTGCATGGACAAGGCTGTATTGAACCATAACCCCAGAAATGTTTTTGCTGAATTATACTTTGGAGTATTCCATCAGCTTCTACCTTAGATTAAGAAAATTGTAAAAAGAACATTATAGTGATGAATGTTTGGTGTTTGGAGTCAAGAAGACCTGAATTTTAATCTCAGCTCTGCCATTTGTTAGCTTTAAGACTTCAGGTGAGTCATGTAATTTCTCTGCCCCTTGGCTGCCTCATTTATTAAATAGAAATAAGAACAGCTTCTAGCTCTTTGGCTGTTTGTAGAATTAAATGAGATAATCCAGGCTAAGTGTTGGCAGGCTGGTACTCAATTCCTGGTCTTCTTGGCTGAGGATCTAGATACCTGGGGGCCAGGCTTTCCATTTCCTACACCCTTTGAGTCTCCAACAGTCTCCCCAGTTACATCCCCAGCCTCCCTGGCAGGTCCCCATTTGCCTCCTCATTCATTCTGGGAAAAGCTGGCATAATGACTTCTATGAACCTAGGCTTTAAAAAATGAAGGCTCCAAAAGGGAGGGGATGTTGTCTTCTGGCAGCTCCTGTGTGTCACACAAATTAATCTTCCAACAAATTATACTGCCACATCTGAAAAAGAGTTTGTTGATCTGCCAACAAGTCGACAAGTGCGCTGAATATAACTCATGGATTCACTCTTTGTCTGAAGTCTGTTGATGTCCCCAGTGAGCAGCAGCATTCAGCTGTGGGCCCCAGAAGAGTGCCCTGCAGACCACATGCTGGCCAGCACAGGATACCATCCTCACCGTTGTTTTTAGTGCACTTGTATTTATTACAAAAGAAGCAGAAGGGCATAATGGAGGAAACTTCTTTAGATCCGTTGAACCCCACCTAAAGTCTGTTCAGCACCGAGGTGACTTCAGATGGTGTCATTTAAGTTCTGTGGGGTTGGACTTAACCGTTTTTGAAATGAGTTGGTCTTGATATATCAGTGGTTTTCAAAATACTCAGTAAACACGGGGATGGGAGTGGGTGGGGCTTTGAGTCCCCACCCTTGATTTACCCAGAGCTACCTGATGTTTATCTGATCTATATATCTGGTTAGAAGAAAGAGGTCTGCTACCCAAAGCAAGAAAAAGGTTGTAAAAAACCACTGGATTGGTTGATCTCTAGGGTCTGCAATTCAGATTCTCAGAATCAGCCGAGAACAGATGATGACCTTTCTTTTGTGTGTCTTTCCACCCAGGCCCTTTCCTAGATGTAAGCGAATAATAGGTGCAGACCCAGCCATGACTCAGAACCCAGACACACAACGTCAGAACTGAACCCTTCTGGGATGTGCACAGCTCGTTAGGAATTGTGGCAAAATGCCTCCTACCCTGGTTTTCAAGATCACTCTCCCTTGCTTCCCCCTCCCCAACCCCAACCTTGCCTTGGGCTGCACCCCTTTGCTGTGGATGCATCAGGACTCAGACAGGCACATAGATAATTTCTCTTCTGGCTGCCTTAACTGCTGCTTTGCCATTTTCCCTACCTGAAGCCTGCAATTCTAGAATTCGGGGGCACTGTTTCCAAAGTCACACCAAATAATATTGATCAATCAATCACTGAATCCCAATTACCCAACAACTATTTTCTCAGGACTTGCTCTGTAGAAAGCAGAGGACTGGGTGGTGACTTCAGGAAATGCATGGGTTCCTGGGGGTGGCAGATTGCATATGTTCACCTTAGCACTGTGGGATCAGGGTGCACACAACGCCTTGGGAACAAAGAGAGGAACAGTTAGCTATGCCTGGAGAATTGGAAGAGACTTTATAGTGCTTGGAATATAGTATCTCCTCAATAAATATGTAGTGAATGAGTGGATAATTGAGAAGGTGGACTCCGGAGGAAGGCTGCTTAGAATTGAACCCCAGCTCCTTCACTTCGTTAGTTGTGTGACGTTTGGCAAGTTAGGTAGCCCCTCTGTGCTTCAGTTTTCCCGTCTGAAAAAATGGGGCTGACGGTACTGACCTTACCTCATAGGGTTGCTTTGAGGATTAAGAGTGAACAAAGTTTTTTAGCCAGTGCCAACTATTACATGTAGGATAGACAAACAGCAAGGTCTTGCTGTGGAGCAGAGGGAAGTATATTCAGTATCCTGTGATAAATCCTAATGGAAAGTAACATGAAAAAATGTGTGTATGTGTGTAACTGAGGCACTTTGCTGCACAGCGGAAAATGACTCAACATTGTCAATCAGTTATACTTCAATAAGCTCTTTTCCAGAATGAGTCAACGCGTGTAGATCAATGTTTGGCACAAGGCCCATGGGTCAGTGCAATACATGGGCCTCTTGGTTACCATGGGTACTGAACAGGCGTGTTGGCTCAGAAGGTAAAGAATCTGCCTGTCATGCGGGAGACCCAGGTTTGATCTCTGGGTGGGGAAGATCACCTGGAGACGTGAATGCCAACCCACTCCAGTATTCTTGCCTGGAGAATTCCATGAACAGAGTCAGACATGACTGAGCAACTTTCACTTCACTGGAAGGAGTAGAGAAAGGAGGGGAAGATGGGATCCAGACTATAACCACAGGAGTTCCTTTCAGCAACTCCCAGATGGAACTTGCTCTTATCAGCATTCAAGAAAACAAAAACAAAATAAAAACCTGGGCTGGGATGCACAGTCCCCTGAATTTGCCCTCCCTTCCCCAGCTTCATGCTCTTCCCCATCCCTCCTTTTCATTTCCTTTCCTCCTTTCCTCTCCTTTTCTCTTCTCCATCCTCTTCTACTTCCCTCTGTTTCCTTGTCCTTTCTGCTCCCTCCTCTCATTCCCTCCAGCTCCTTTCAGCCCTCTGAGGTCCGTTATTTTCTTCCACCCTCTGTCTCCCCTCCTCCTTTCCCTGTAGCCTTGGTCTTCCTCCTTGCCCATGTCAGCCAAGCTGGCCCTATAGACATTGCTCCAAAGCCTGGAAAACCAGACCCTCCTCTGCTCTTTGTCCCCCTTCCTCTTCGCGCCCCTTCCTATGCAAAAGGCAGGAAGAGATGAAGACACACCAGAGCAAAAAAATGAATCTTTTGTTCTTGTTATTGTTGCTTCTCAGTGAAAAGTATCCCCAGATGCCCTTTCTTGACAACACAGCCAGGGCTCTCTTGATAACATTTGTAGCTCGGGGTGATTGTGGCTTTTGGCCTGCTCACTTTTTACTGTCAAGCACTCTAGCGGTTTTCAGGGTTTAAATGGCAGCAATCCGCAAGGACAGAACCACCCCTGCTGACACCCTGAGGGGGCAAAGCTTGGATCCTCAGAAAGACAAAATTCATTTACTGCACTTAGAAATCAATGCTCAAGAATGAAGAGCGATCCCTTCCCTCCGAGAAGTCTGGCCGCCATGGCTCTCCCACAAGTGGCCTCCCTTTTCTCTTCTGCAAATGATTCCTGCAGGTTGGTTAAGTGCCTGACACCATTCAGTGTTCCTCAGAGGCAGCATTGACAGGACAGAAGGGGTCCCTGCTCCACTGGGATAACTTCTAATGGACGAGGTAGACCATAAACAAGTAAAAGCTTGAGTAATAAACTTTCCTGGTAGTTACTAGTGCAATAAAGAAAACAGACTAGAGTAATCAGTAAACGCACTTTGATGAAGAAGGATTTGCGTTAAGTCACACAGTCAGGAAAGTTCTCCCTGAAAGGGATCCATTGAGCTGAATTTTTTTTTTCTTTTTATTATTATTATTATTANTTTTTTTCCATTTATTTTTATTAGTTGGAGGCTAATTACTTTACATCATTACAGTAGTTTTTGTCATACATTGAAATGAATTAGCCATGGATTTACATGTATTCCCCATCCCAGTCCCCCCTCCCACCTCCCTCTCCACCCGATCCCTGTGGGTCTTCCCAGTGCACCAGGCCCGAGCACTTGTCTCATGCACCCAACCTGGGCTGGTGATCTGTTTCACCCATTTCAAGAGAACAGCATTGAGCTGAATCTTTAATAACAAGAAGGAGCCTCTACATATACCCAGGGAAGACCCAAGCATCAAGATGGGAAGAGTTTGGAGAAAAGGACTCCAAGGGATGGAGCATAGGGACTGAGTGGGGAGATGATATGTGATGAAACTGGAGGAGGAAGCAGGGACCAGTTTTCATTAGCCACATTTATAAACCCTTCTGTAAGTAACAGTAAGTAATAGAGAATGATTGGATAATTATATCAAAAAAGGCATTTACTGTAAGGAGCTTAGATAGCCCACAGGATTGTCAGGGACAGATGTAGAAAAGTGACAAGAACAAGGAACAGCAGCTGGACACTGACAGTGCTCGAGCTGCCATCCCTGTCACTGGACACTCCGCTGGATGGCAGCCAATGCCCCTTCTGCTGCCATCCGCAGAGTCCCTGCATCACCCAAGCTTGTGTCACATGCTAGGTATGTGGGCCTGTTAGGGTTCTCCAGAGAGACAGAACCCGTAAGATGTGAGATGTCTATCTACCCATCATCTGTTCTATCATAAAGAATTGAGTCACATGATTATAGAGCTGAGAAGTGCCAAGATCTGTCGTTGGCAAGCTGGGGAACCAAGATGGCAGATGGTATAAATTTCAGTCTAAGCCTGAAGGCAGAAGACGACCAGTCTTCTGCAAGACAGTGTCTAAGCTCGAAGACAGGCAGAGAAAGGGAATTCTTCCTTTCTCAGCCAATTGGTCAAGTAAAGCTTTTGGTGATGGAATGAGTTCTAGGGGGCTTCCCAGGTGGTGCATTGCTAAAGAATCTACCTACAAATGCAGGAGACACAAGAGACCTGGGTTCTATTCCTGGATTGGGAAGATCTCCTGGAGAGGAAATGGCAACTCACTCCAGTATTCTTGCCTGGAAAATTCCATGGACGGAGGACTCTGGCTGGCTACAGTCCATGAGGTCACAAAGAGTTGGCCATGACTAAGTGACTGAGCGTGCACATTGGGAAGGGCAATCTGCTTTACTCCTACAAATTCAAATGCTAATCTCTTCCAGACACACCCTCACAGACACGCCCAGAATAATGGTTCACTGAATACCTGGGCATACTATGGCCCAGTCAGGTTGACACATAAATATAACCATCATGGCAGACAAGGAGAGCTGATTGGTTAAGTGGTCACTTACTTCACCAAAGAGTCTGAAAGTGAGTATCTGATGCATTCTTGAGTGGGATATAGAGTCTGTCACCCATCAAAACAGAAAAGTCAGGGAATTTCTCTAATATGCAAAGTAGGATAGGATTCTGGATAACCAAGCAATGACTGATGCCTAGCTCTGTCATGCAAGAGTTAGCTTTTTAAGTGCAACAGAAAATCATTGAGGGACTTCCAGTAGGAAGTGACTTGATCTGATTTACATTATTAAAAGGTCATCCTGGCTGCTAGGTGGATGGTTAGGGGGCAAGAGGGGAAAGCAGGAGGCTGCTGCAGGAGCTGTGCTGACTTGAGTATGCTTACAGTGAAGGTGGTACATGAGGGTATATAGTTTTCAGGATATAGTTTGGAGACAGTGAACAGGACTGGCTGATGAATTAGCATTATGGGATTAGGGAATGAAAGTAATCAATAGCAACTGTAGTTTTTCATTGAGAAGATCTGGTGGATGGTGATAAAGTTACTAAGAGAGGACTCTGGGGGTAAAGAGGGAAGGGGGAACATTAAGAATTCATTTTGGATGTGCTCATTTTGACGTGGAAGAGATGCCTATCATCAGGCAAGTGACAATATAAAGCAGACATCTATATATTCCAGCTATGACTCAGGAGAGTGGTCAAGGCTGGAGATACAAATTGGCAAGATGAGCTTTGGAACCAGACAGTTTTGCTTGGACTTTTGAGTCTGCTAATTACTAGTTGTATGACTCTGAGCAAATTGCATAAGATCTTTAAGCTCCGGTGTCCTCAGTTCAATTCAATCACTCAGTTGTGTCCAACTCTTTGTGACCTCACGGACTGCAGCACACCAGGATACCCTATCCATCACCAACTCCTGGAGCTTGCTCAAACTCATGTCCATCAAGTTGGTGATGACTTCCAACCATCTCATCCCCTGTCATCCCCTTCTCCTCCTGCCTTCAATCTTTCCCAGGATNTTTAATTTCTCCACAATTCTGAATGAGATCCTTGCCAGGTACAGTAACCTTGGTTGTAGATTTTTCCCTTTCAGTACTTTAAATATATCCTTCCATTCCCTTCTGGCCTGCAGAGTTTCTGCTGAAAGATCAGCTGCTAAGCATATGGGGTTTCCCTTGTATGTTACTTGCTGCTTCTCCCTTGCTGCTTTTAATATTCTTTGTGTTCTTTGTTAGTTTGATTAGTATGTGTCTTGGCATGTTTCCCCTTGGGTTTATCCTGTATGGGACTCTGCACCTCTTGGACTTGATTGACTATATTTCCTTTTCCATGTTGAGAAACTTTTCAACTGTAATCTCTTCAAAAAATTTTCTCATACCCTTTCTTCTTCTCTTCTTCTTCTGGGACCCCTATTATTCAAATGTTAGTACGTTTGATATTGTCCCAGAGGTCTCTGAAACTATCCTCAGTTCTTTTCATTCTTTTTACTTTATTCTGCTCTTCAGAAGTTATTTCCACCATTTTATCTTCCAGCTCACTGATTCATTCTTCTGCTTCAGATATTCAGCTGATTCCTTGAAGAGTATTTTTAATTTCAGTAATTGTATTGTTTTGTCTCTGTATGTTAATTCTTTAATTCTTCTAGGCCTTTGTTAATTGATTCTTGCATTTTCTCCATTTTGTTTTCAAGGTTTTTTTTTTTTATCATCTTTACTGTCATTATTCTGAATTCTTTTTCAGGTAGTTTGCCTGTTTCCTCTTCATTTATTTGGGCTTCTGTGTTTCTAATTTGTTCCTTCATTTGTGTAGTATTTTTCTGCCTTTTCATTATTTTTTAGCTTATTGTGTTTGAGGTCTCCTTTTTCCGGGCTTCAAGGTTGAATTCTTTCTTCCTGTTGGTTTCTGCCCTCCTAAGGTGGTTGGTCCAGTGGTTTGTGTAAGCTTTCTGCAGGGTGAGATTTGTGCTGAGTTTGTTTGTTTGTTTGTTTTTCCTCTGACGGGCAAGGCTGAGTGAGGTGTAATCCTGTCTGCTGATGACTGGGTTTGTATTTTTGTTTTGTTTGTTGTTCAGATGAGGCATCCTGCACAGGGTGCTACTGGTGGCTGGGTGATGCTGGGTCTTGTATCCAAGTGGTTTCCTCTGTGTGAGTTCTCACTATTTGATACTCCCTAGGGCTAGTTCTCTGGTAGTCGAGGGTCTTGGATTCAGTGCTCCCACTGCAGAGGCTCAGGTCTTGGTCTCTGGTCAGGAATGAAGATCCCACAAGTGGTTTGTTATGACATTAAATGAAATTAAAACAAATACCCAAAAATGAAAAACCAAAGAAGAACCTCAGACAAATGGCAATAACAAAATCAGGCAAATAATAATTGAAATAATGGAATGCACACATATACATATACACCCATAAGCAGAGTCAAAACAGTCCAACTAAAATAAAGTACAGTAGACTGACCTGGTGAACAAAGGAAATCAAAAATTATATTTACATGTTAAGAACAAAATTAACTAAAGCAAAAACTAGAAAACAAAACTAAAGCAAGGTACCAAGTGGGGAATAAAGCAATGAAAACAAAACTAACAAATATGTTGAGAGGAAAGGAAAGAAAAAAAGAATAGATATGCAAAGTTAAATAGAGATAAAGAAGATTTCTATACATTAAAGATTAACTGCAAGGGGAGAAGAACAGTAGGAAAAGCAAGCAAAGGAATACAGGTAGAAAAAATAATAACAGGTTTAAAAAATTAAAATAAAAAAAAGAGAAAAGAAAAAGAAAAAGGAAAACTCCACCGAACTGCAAAAGCCCAACATAGAGGCAGAGGTTTATAACAATAATAAAAATTGTGACTGAATATACACATATACGTATACACCCTTAAGCAAAATCAAAACAGTCCAACAAAAGTAAAGTACAATAGATTGACCTGGCAAACAAAGGAAGCCAAAATTTTTATCTACCAGTTAAGAACAAAACTAACTAAAGCACAAACTGGAAAACAAAACTAACACAACATGCCAGTTGGGGAATAAAGCGATGAAAATAAAACTAACAAATATGTTGAGAGGAAAGAAAGAAAGAAGAGATATGCAAAGTTAAATAGAAGTAGATGAAGATTTACATACATTAAAGATTAACTGAAAGGGGTAAAGAACAGTAGGAAAAGCAAACAAAGGAATAAATGTAGAAAAAATAATAATAGGTTTAAAAAATTAAAAATTAAAATTAAAAAAGGAAAAAAAGGGGGACTCCACAGAGCTGCAGAAGTCCAATGCAGAAGCAGATGTTTCTAACAACAATAAAAAATGTGACTGGAGAAAAAAAATTACAAAAGAATCTATGGAACAAGTCAAAACATAAGAATAATGAATGTTTTTCTGCTGTCACTGCTGTCAGAGCCCTTTCCCAGCTGGGAGTCACAGTCCACCTCGCCTCTCTAGGATGCCCTCCAACTCTGTGCTGATCTCTGGACCTGCTCTGGGAGCAGCTCAGATTCTAATCTGGTCCTACTCCTGTGTGTTCTTGCCTCCAATGTCCACAGCTGTCAGAACGAGTGCCTTTTCTTTTGTGGGAGCTCTCAATGGCCTTTTATATATTCCATAGACACAGTATGCCCAATTGATCGTGTGGATTTAATCTGCAGTTTGCACAGCTGGTGGGAAGGTTTTGAATGTTTTTCCTTAGCCACACTGCCCCTGGGTTTCAGTTGTTTTATTTCCACCTCTGCACGTGGATCGTCCACCGGGGTTAGCTCCTGAGGCTGCCCTGGACTTGGGTTTGCCCCTGTGAGGACCAGGCCTGGAGGTGCCGCAGCTGCTTGGGTCACAGGGGTCCTGGCAGCACCGGATTTTGGGCAATACCCTCCAGTATTCTTTCCTGGAGAGCCCCCTCCCTGACAGAGAAGCCTGGCAGGCCACAGTCTTCAGGGTCACAAAGAGCTGGACATGACCGAAGTGACCCTGCGCGAATAGACACAAGACTTTTTTTTTTTGCCTGTGGCAGCTCTGCCCCAGTGAGAGTTGGGTGTGAAGGTGGCTTGGCTTGCGGGGACCCTGGCGGTGCCAAGTGTGCAGGGACACGGACTGCCTCTGCCACAGGGGTTAAGGCCCTTTCAGAGTCTTTTTTCAAGCCTCTTGTAGCTGGTGACCAGAAGGCCCCTTTGGCCAGTTTTTCTCCATAGCTCTGCGTGTTCAGGCACTTAGAGGGCTCCTTTGCCTGAGGTCCTTCTCTGTTTGGCATGCCAGGCACATAGAAGGGCCCGCCCCCGGCTGGGGTCCTACTCTGTAGATCGGCACATCAGAAACTTAATGGAGCACCCTGGGTGGGGTCCTACTGTGTAGTTCAGCATGGCAGGCGTTTGATGGGCCAGCCTCTCTGTTGTTCAGCTGCTGATGCTGGNCTCTGTAGATCGGCACATCAGAAACTTAATGGAGCACCCTGGGTGGGGTCCTACTGTGTAGTTCAGCATGGCAGGCGTTTGATGGGCCAGCCTCTCTGTTGTTCAGCTGCTGATGCTGGCGTGTGGGGGGAGAGAGGCTATGGTGACGGCTCCACCCGCTATGTGCGACTCAGCAGCATCACCTTGCTTCCATGGCTGCCTGGCTTTCTTCCACTGGCATTTCCCACCGCAGTCTCCTCCCTCACATCCCCTTGATCCATCTCTCCTCAGTCAACAGCAGCCCTCGCCCTGGGATCGCTCCACAATCCCTAAACTCCGGCTCCCCGCTGCTGTGCCTTCCAGGGGATCTGTGCGTGTCCAGGGTATGTGTGGCTGCGGCAAGGACTGACATTCTCATCATTTAGGCTGCCACAGATCAGCTGTACCCTCAGCCTTAAATGTTACTCCTCTGACTCAGATAATTGCCTTGATGTGGGGATCAGACCCCTGTTTCAGTTTTCCCAACCCGCCAAGGGCAGGTCCAGTCCTACCAACACTCCTGTTTTTCTCCCTAGTTCTTTCATCCTACCAAGTTTTGCATGTTTTATATATTCCTTCCCACTGGTCAGGTACTCCTGTCTGCTGTCAGCTGGCGTTCTGCATGCACTCCTGTGTCTGAAGGTGTGTTCCTGAT